CCCCGCCAGGTGCCGCCCAGGACACCTCCTGGAAGCCCCAGGGGAGCAGGGCCCCACACAATGTCCATCCTGCCCCTGGGGCCCCGCGGGGCTTCTGCCGGGCCTTAGTGTCGAGCTGTGGGCAGGGCGGATGGCAGGGCCCTGGGTGCTGTGGCACATGTGTGCCCACATGTGTGGGGCTTCAGAGGCAGGGAGAGTTCCTCTTCCCACACCGGCCGCCGGCCGCCTCCCCGCCTGCTCACTCGCTGTGCGGCCGCTGTCCATTTCTGGCCCTCTGAGGGATAAGTGGGGAGAGGCATTGCGCGCCTCCCCTTCTCCTCTGTCCCTTGCTGCGGCCCTGGTGTCCTCCCCTGCTGGGACCTCCGCTGAGGCGGGATGGACATTCACCTTTCCCATCTTGCCACAGCCGAAAAACTGTGGCTCCAGTGGAACTGGCTTGGAGCACGATTTGGGAGTTGACTTGCAGGGCCTCGCCTGGCTCCTCTGGGCTCTGGGCCCAGCGGTCCCCACTGCGGCCTCAGGCCAGGCCAAGGGTGGCCGCCACCTCCCCGGGGTGGTTTTGCTCTTGCTCCATGTCCTCCTCCCTGTGCCAGGAGCGAGATGAAGCGCTGGATGACCTCGCTGGCCCCCAACAGGAGGACCAAGTTTGTTTCCTTCACATCCCGGCTGCTGGGTGAGTCCCTGCTGCGGTGGCTTCAGGCCTCAGCTTCAGCAGCACCTTGTGGGGATGGGGAACCCCTACCAAGCTCAGCACCCCACCCAGACCGCTGGTTCCCAGCTTGTCAAACACGAGATGAAGTAGAGACACCCTGGGTCTTGAGTGACAGACACCTCGGAACACCGGGAGAATTGGGGCCCCAGCGGCAGGTGCTTCTGAGGTGCCAGTTGTCTGGAAGGCATATATGAACCCGGCACACGAGCCTGCTGGCACCCCTTGTCTGGCCTCTCAACTGCCCCCCGTGCTGCACCCCAGCACCCTTGGACATCAGAGCTGGAAGCCCCTTCCCTGCGTTCTCCCCAACTCCGGGGCTTGGAAGCAGCCTCCCCCCGCAAGAAGAACCCTCTGTCGGTTCCCACGGAGTCCGAGTCCCGTCGGGGCCAGCCGCTCTGTGCCATCCTGGGCTTGCCCGGGTGTGGGGCAGGGCAGGGGACCCGGCACTGGGGACGCACCACAGCTTCCCTCCTGCCCGCAGACTGCCCTCAAGTGCAGTGTGTGCACCCGTACGTGGCCCAGCAGCCCGACGAGCTGACGTTGGAGCTGGCAGACATCCTGAACATCCTGGAGAAGACGGAGGATGGTGAGCCCTGGCCCACTGCCGGCACCGCTGGCTGGGTACCCGCTTCCAGTGCCTGGGCTCAGCCACAAACAGGGCTGTCTCAGCAGTGTGAGGCCCCCTCGTCCCATCCCCTGGGACAGTCTGGCCCCAGCCTCCACCACAGTGAGGGAGCAGCACATCATCCTGACCCTGAACCTGGCCCTGGCCCTGACCCCGGCCCTGACCCCAAGGCTGTTTGGGCAGTGAGCTGCCCAGGAGGCCCGGGGACCCAGACTCGGGGACCCAGGTGGGCTAAGAAGCACCCAGTTCGTGCCAGCCTTTCGAGTGGCATCAGCACTGTGAGGAATTTAACCCCACCCTCTCTCCTCCAGCCTGTTTCCACACTAATGGCTCCTGGTCAGAGTCCTCACTGTGCACAAAATCCTCTCTACCCAGCCCCTCTGACCCAGGTCCTGGCCTCCACTGCACCCCTCATTCCCAAGTCGCAGGGCTGTCCTCCCCCACCCCAACGCACACAGCCTGACACCCCTCACAGGGTGACCTGCCCAGGGTACGCCGAGGGCCACCACACCCGCGGGGACATGCCACAGGTCCAGGCCCTGGCAAAGGCCTCTGGGGGAGGGAGGGACAGAGAAAGCAGGGAGCGAGGAGGCCGGGGCACCGTGCGGCACCCTCAGCTGGCCAGGCTGAGCCTCTGGAGGCAGAGATGCTGGGAGGCACTGCCCAGTGAAAAGGAGACCCTGCAGCCCAGCGGGGCAAGCAAGTGGCCAGCCACCACTGCCATGGCACCTCGGGTGCTCTGGCTTCGGGGGAGGCCCTTGGGGGCTCCTGGCCTTGATGGGATTGCTTCGCTTTCCCTGATGGGCTCCAGAGTCACTGGGCACATGTGTGGCTGGGCCCACAGCTCCCAGGCCTCCCCAGCTCCTGGTGGTAAGTGGTGTCCCCCGACTTTGCCCGCAGATGGGAGCCTGGCTAGGTGGAGCCTCCTCTGGGGCCCCTGCCCCTGCCTCTGCCCCACAGAGCACTGACTCTGCCACCCTCCCTTGCAGGGTGGATCTTTGGCGAGCGTCTGCATGACCAGGAGAGAGGCTGGTTCCCCAGCTCCATGACGGAGGAGATCCTGAACCCCAAGATCCGCTCCCAGAACCTCAAGGAGTGTTTCCGCGTGCACAAGATGGATGACCCTCAGCGCAGCCAGAATAAGGACCGAAGGAAGCTGGGCAGCCGGAACCGGCAATGACCTCCGTCACAGGCGCCAGCCTGGGGGAGGATATGGGCAGGGGAGCAGGCTGGTGGACGCAGAGGGCCCTTGGGAAGGACAGGCCAGCGCCTCCCCAGGCAGCAGGAAGTGGCCAGGTGCACAACCCAGGCCCTGCCCACGCAGCGAGTGCCCAAATGTCTCCACTCTTGCCGGCGCAGTGGTACAGACTGGAGACAGCGCCCACCTGACCATCTGTGGAGGAGGAGTGTCGGGCAGTGCCGCCACCTCCCCCTCTCGTCTCTTGGGGGCCTCCTGGAACTGGCAGAGGCCCAGAGCCAGTGTCCCTGGTGGGGTCAGGCGGAAGGTGACGACTGTTGTGATCCCCGCACTGCACGCGTCCCTCCCTACAGGCACCCGGGGGCTGCCCTTGCCTGGCAGCTTCCAGAGCGGCCCTTGGTCTCCGGCTGCCAGGAGGAGACCAGCTGCCTCCGCTCCCCTGCAGCACCTTGGCCGCCCCCGGCCGCACAGCAGCCTGCTCCACGCAGGCCCAGCAGGGCTTGGCTGAGCCGACTGCCTCAGGCTCCTCCTCCACGGCGAGCATCACTTGTGCTTTCTGGCCCCCGCCAGGAGCCCAGGTGTCTTACAGAATGAATTGGTCACTGCATCCTGTACAGTTACGGTTCCAAGAAAAGCAAATATCATTTTTGGCTGCATTAAAGAAGCATCATGTATTAAGTCAGAGGTGGAGGTCTCTTCTTTATTGCCCTGGTGTGCACAGGAACGAGGTGCTTGGTGCTGGACTGAGGTGGGAGCACCAGTGGGGGTCCTCAGGGAGGGTACGAGGGGGCGTCCAGGGAGGAGAGGGCACAGAACTGGCCTGGGGCCATCTGCGGGTGCTGGGGAGGCCTTCATGCCACAGGGGAAGTGGACAGGTTTGCAAGGCTGAGGTGCCCTTGGCCAGTGGTCCCCTACAGTGTGACTGCAGCCCCAGGGCTAGACCAGCCGGACCCTCCTCACCCTCAGTGCACCAGCTCCTCCCGGCCCAGCCCCCTGCCCCTACTCCAGTCCCCGTCAGGGAGCCTTGCGCTCTCCAGGACGCGCTTTCTCCCACACCCAGACTGGCCACGGCACCCGCAGCATCTTCTGCAGGCCATGGCAGGGCTCCTGGCTCCTCCACACATCGAGGGTCACCTGAGGACAGCCCCAGTGCTGAGAGGAAGGGCTCCTGTTCAGGGGTCCCTGCCCAGCATCCCAATCCCCAGAAGGGGACCAGCTGGGATAAGGGCTGGGGAGGCCCTGACCCGCACCTGGCTCTGAAGCTGGGAGTGAGGGACTGAGTTGGGCCATCTGCCCAGTGATGGCTTTGGCTGAAACAGCCTTGTGAGAATTGGCCGTTTAACCCACGATGTGTTTGGGGAAGACTCCTGGAGTGGGGGTGGCCCCGTGAGAGAGGGTGCGGTGGACCCCTGGGCTCCCGCCATGGCCAGAGTAACAGGTTGTGGCAGGACCAGGTGCCGTCAGGGCACAGGAAAGCCAGAGGCCAGAACTGCTGACAGATGATGGCGAAAAACAGAGGAAGCTGGGTGTGGTGGCAATGCCTGTGATCCCAGCACTCAGGAGGCTGAGGCAGGAGGATGGCAAGTTCCACGCCATTTGGGGCTGCCATAGCAAAACCCTTTCTCCAAAAATGAAAGAGGGAGGAGTAGTGAACAGCTTCCCCCCTGGTATCCTCACCCAGGGACCTCCTATTGCAGTAAACCTTCCCCAGGGGTTGCAGAAGCTCACACCCACGCCTCCAGGCCCGGCCAGAGGGGGCAGCTGGTAAATCTCTCCAGGTTACCGAAGCTGTGCACGGGCTCCTGCCAGGCTTGGAGGGCGGCGAGCAGGGTGAAGGGCAGAGTACCAGGGAGAGAACGGTGTGGAGCCGGTCCCTCCTCCCTCAGTACCAGGCTCCAAGGTTCAAGCGCACAGTGGGCTGGGAAAGGCCTCTCCCCACCCCCACGCCCACCCCCACCCCCACCCGGGCACCCGCCCCGCACGCAGATAGCCCTGGCTTCACCCCTCGACTTCTCCCAATCCTGGGTCTCCCTGGGGTACAGGGGTCTTCGGGGCCCAGGTGAGCCGAGGGTCTGGGGCTCTCAGAGCAGATAGGGTCCCTCAGAGCCAAAGGACGCCCCTTAAAAGTAACCTGCTCTCAAGCACAGGGCTGCGGATCTGAGCCCTCACCAGCCTCGCTTCCCTGTCACCCCGGGCCCATGCTCCTGCGGATCCACAAGCGGGGGCGCGCAGAAGTGGGCGGGGCCGGGCCCCGGGCGCAGGCGGAAGCGCGAGCACAAGTAGCGCTCCGAAGCATGCGCACGTGGCCCCAGCGCACGTGGCCCCAGCGCCCGAGTGGTGCGCCGCGAGCCCCCGGCCGGCCCACCCCCCACGCGCGCTCACACTCACGCGCGGGCGCACACGCACACGCAGGCGCACGGAGGGTGGGTGCAGCCGAGTGGCTCGCGGGCCGCCGCGGCTCCTTTATTTGTTTCACGAGGCGGAAAACTTTCTCAGCGCGACGACCACGAGTGCCAGCACCACGCAGGTGGCCAGCAGGGCGGCGATCACGATGGCCGCGATGGCGCCGGGCCCCAGCGAGCCTGCGGGGGACGAGACGTGTCACGCGCGCCCCGCGCCACCCTCCCGCACCCTCGCCACCCCGCGCCCGGCGCCCCGCACCTCCACCCTGGTCCAGCCGCTCCCGCGCGGTGCTGTCTTCGGGGCCTGGCGCTGACGTGGAGGCCGGCTGGCCGCTGGGCGTGGGCTCCCGGCCGGGGCTGGTGCTCTCCATGGCGCCTTCTCCCGACGGCAGCTCAGCTGGCTCGTTCCACAGGGTGGGCACGGGCTCCTGCGGGCCCTCAGCTGCAAGGCCAAGGACAGGCAGTGGGCCCCGGGCTGTGCAGGCTGTTGCGTGGCAGGCTCGGGGTACGCACTGCCCTGGTCCAACCATGCCACAGGCAAGGCACCTGCGGAATTCGCTCCAAAGCGAGGAGCCCTGTGTCTGTCACCCTGAGCCCCCATGGGGCCAGGCTGCCTCGCCCATGTGGGACAGATGGGGGAGGGGCTGGCAGCAGAGGCAAGGACCCTGGCCCCAACCCCAGGGCCTTGGCTGGCTGCAGTTCCCTCCCATCTGAGCTGAGGGCGACACCCTGCCCGACCCTGAAGGCCCAGGGCAGCCTTCACCTGGGGAAGGGTCCCAGCCTGTCGAGGCCTCCAGTGCCCCAGTGAGACCACAGAGGCCCTCCCTGCCGCAGGCACCGCTGTTCCTCTGCCCAACGCCTCTGCCTCTCGGATAGGAGCCTAAGAGCCCGTCGCTGCCCCTGAAGCAGGGTGGGGAGAAGGGGAGAGGTGGCCCCACACATGCTGGGCCTCAGCACATCAGGCAGGAGTCCCCTGCTGGGAGGGTTTGGGGGACCAGGGACCCCAGAGTACAGGGGGCAGGGGATGAGCAGCCCACACACCCCTGGGCCTTGTGCTTCTTCCCAGACGGGGCTGGAAACGCAGGTCAGTTAAGACCAGGCCCCAGGCCTCTCCCTGCAGCCAACATCCTGGCTGTCACAGGGTCAGGGCTGCCTCTGCCCTCATCTGTGCTGGGATAGAAACAGAGCTAGGGTCCCTGGGGGCAGTGCAGGGGCGCTGGGTCACAACACAATCTCACTGACTTCCTGCTTTTGTCAAGGAGGCTGTTCTTATCCTCATTTCAGAGACAGCAAAGCCTTGGCTCTGGTTGAGCCGAGTGCCACTGTGGTAACTGCAGGTGGTGAACCAAGGGTCGGTTCTCTTAACAGCCCCACAGTAGCCTGCAGCCCCTTCTCAAGGGCATCACCCCTGGGCGCTCCGTGCCGGGCTCCTCGGCTGCAGGACAGGGTACTCAGAGGGGACACAAGGACTTCCAGGGAGACACATGGAGCTATGTTCCGGGTGGGTCGGGGCCCAGCTGCCAGAGACATTTGGGATCTCCGGTGGAATCACAGTCACTTAGCCCTGCACCAGTGTCTGTATCTTGCTTTTGATAGCAGGGTCTGGCTGTAAGAGTCTTCATTCTCACGGGAAGTTGGGGGCCAGAGGCATGATGTCTACAGCTTCTCTCAAGTAATCCAGCCTCACAGGAAGGGAGTGATAGGGCCCAGGGAGCCTGAGGTGGTGGGTGGTGTGGCAGAACCCTGCTTGTTGGTGAATCTAGGTGGAGGTCTGGAGTTCACTGACTATTTTTGCAACTTTTCTGTGAACTTAGAATCTTTTCACCATAAAACTTTACCAAGTTCCTGGCTCTGCAGGCCCTGCCCCTCCTGGTCACATTTCCTGAGCCTGTGTTAGTTCTGAGGATCAGCTTGCAGGCAGGCTGCGAACCCCAGGGCTCCCCAAAGCAGAACCCCTTTTCAGAAGACTCCAGACCAGGGCTTCCCCCTCACAGTGCCCAGGGTGCACGGCGGTGTGGCTCTCTGGCTGCTGCTTCCACCCACCAGCCTGGAAGACCACATGTGAGAAGGGCGCAGTGACCTGGCTCGGACTCCCATGAATTCAGGAGTCTGCAGCCTCAAAGACCCCAGGAAAGGCCCAAGCCCAGGCATGCTGGCCTCAGGCTCGTGGGGCTGGACAGAGAAAAGGCCTGAGTGTGCCCACCGCTTGGCAGGCCCCACAGTCTGGGGTTCACAGGCTGCCTGTCTGCTCCAGAGATGGAGAAACCGCTGGCCCCGCAACAGAGGGCAGACAGATACCTCCTCATTCCACCACTGCAGGCCGGCGCTCACCTCCAAGGTTGGGCACCTGGCCAGGGAGGCCACCCTGGGGCTGCTGGGCACCAGATCGGGGTGGGGTCCGCAGGCCTGGGCCACTGGCTGAGCTGGACCCAACCCACCAGCAGAGGGGGAGGCACTGGGGGCTGGGGCATTGTCTTGTCTCCCTCTGGTTGCTCTGCTAGTTTGCCTGCAGGAGGCTTGGTTGGAAGAGAGGTGAAGATGAGAGAGAATGGACAGCAGAGAGACCCGCAGGAGCAAGAGTGTCCAGCGGCTGAGGGATAGCAAGTGAGGCCTGGGAAGGGGAACCACAAAGCACCCCAGAGAAGACCTGTCCCCTTCGGCCACAGCACAGCCCACACTCCACAGGCTGGAGTGACAGTGCTGTGGGACTTCTCACTCCAGCTGGGGAGAACAGGGCCCTGGTGGCACTGCCACAGGCCTGGGCACTGTGGGCTGTCCCTGGGCCCCGCCACCCCTGGCCGGCCTGCCTTTGGGTAAATAAGTTTGTCCAATGCTTGGTTGGACCACAGGGCCCCAAGACTGGGTGTCCGTGCTCACAGACGGCCTTTGTGTGGGCCATGAAGGGCCTTTTCATCCCCACCCTGGCCTCCTGCCCACTCAACCTGGCCTGCCCCCCACCTCAGCACTGCGGCCACCAGCCCTGGCAGGGAGGGTGGCAGCAGGACCTGGGCTGAGGCCTCCGGGCCACTCCTTCCCTCCTGCCAGCTGCAGGACCCCAGCCGGGTGGGAGGCGGGGGCCTTGGCCTTGTACACACCTGCCCAGCGCTTCCTGCCCGGGCCCTTCCCGGTGGAGCCTGGGACACCCAGCAGCCCCACACCCAGCTGGCCGCCTGCTTTTGGGGGGCCACATAGGGAAGGGGGCAACCATGTGAGGTCCTTCCTGCCCGTCCCCAGAGCCTCCTCTGGTGCCAGATGCAGCGGCGGGAACCGTGGTGTCCTTGGGGCAGCGATGAAGCTGCTCCACTCCACAGGTCACTCCCAGGTTCGGGCAGCGCCTGGCCTTGCCCAGTGAGCTCCTCTACCCGGCCTGTGGAGGCGGTTCTGCCCACCCCAGGCCTGTCAGAGGGGCTGGGGACAGTGCAGCCCTCACATGTCCTGAGCACTGGCTGGACACCTGGCCATCCCCAGAGTATGGCACATGTGGACTGGTGAGGCTGTGTCCCCTCCTGCAGATGAGTGGGTACTGAGAGGTGGCCAGAGGCCAGGCCGGGCTGGGAGCCGCTTGCTGGAGCCCCCTCTACCTCCTGTGCCTTCTGGTGTATGGCTGGGTTCCCACTGTGGTGGGGGTCCTAGCACGCCCCTGAAGCCACATTTTCACAGTGGACTTCACGACTCTCTGCTCATCCACAGACACCCCCTAAGCCCAAGATGTAGGCCCTTGAAACACCGGGGACAGCAGCAGCCCTGTGGCTCAGCCATGGGCCAAGGAGGGTGATGACTCCTCCCAAGAGCAAGCCCGCGGGTGTCCCTCTGGAAGCGGGCCCTCATCCCCAACCATCGGGGCTCAGCCCGGAGCCCCAGCTAGCATCCTTGCCATTCTGTGCAGGAACCCGGGGCCTCGTGCTCTCTCTGAAGTTTCTCCCAAGATGGGGACAGTACGTGAACCTTTGCTCTCTGAGGACACTGCAGAAGCAGCTGGGAAAAGTGACTGACAAGGCTCCATGGTCCGCCTGGCGGCTGGGCCTCTGCTCCTCAGCCACTTGCCCTGTCCGTGGCCCTGCTCCACTTCAGAGGCCCTTGTCCCTGCTGCCAATAGTCCCGAATCCAGTCAGCTGCCGGGAGATCCACCCCAAATGCTGGCCCGACTCCTGTCAGGATCTGCCCCAGTCCCAAGGTGGCAAGGCCTGCGCCCCTTACCTGTGAGCACCGCAGGGGCCAGGACCCCCGAGATGAGCAGCAGGGCCGTGTGCAGGGCCAGACAGGGTGCCATCCTGGCCATGAGCGCGCACAGCGGGCGGGATGCAGAGGACTGAGCTGCTGCACCTTGGCAGCGGGAAAGAGGCATCAGAGAGCTGGGGAGGGTTTCCATCAATGCAAACTCTGTCCTCCTGGGACACTGTGCCCGCCCCCGACACGCGCGCACACACAGAGCACAAGCTCACAGAACAGACCGGCTTTCCTACACTCTGGAGCAGCCCCACCCTTGGAAAGGGAAGGAGGAAACTGCTGTCCCCCCCCCACACACACACACACACTCACACACACACACACACTCACTCCTGGGTCACTGGAAGTGAGAGGTTTTCAAACTTCCTGGTGCAGAAGAGTCACCCGGGAACTTGGAAAATGCAGATCCGCAGCCCCTGTGGCCGGGCTCCTGTGTGAGCCCAAGAACGAGCCTGGTCCACAGAGCCTGTGGAGCTGAACGCCAGGCCCCATGCTGTCTGCTCTGCCCGCCGCACACTGCTGCTGCCACTTCCAGCCTGGCCTGGTCCAGAGCTCTGTCCCAGCAGCCCCTTGCTCACCGCCAGCTAAGGCACAGCATCTCGTGTCTAAGCAGCCGGCGCCTCCATGCCCCACCCTGCCTCTCAGTGACTTCCAGCACCCTATCCCCCAGAGGTGCTCACCGTGCAATTCAATGGTCTGTCTTTCTCTCTCTCTCCCCACATCCAAACCCTTAGCAAGTTCTGCCAGCATCCCCTACTTGGTGCTCTCCATGGTTTCTCATCGCCTTTACAACAAAAAGCCAAACTAAGGGTTTCCCCTAGTGCTCCTCACCTCCCCACACCTCTGCTCACTAGGACCTGGCTAGTTTCCTCTAACACACCAGTTGAGCCTGCCTCAGGGCCTTTGCACTTGCTGTGCCTTCCCAGAAACTTACTATGAGGCTACCTTATTTTTATTCAAATAGTGCGTCAACCTCCCGATTCACCCATCGTATCAATTTATTCTAGCACTTATATTTTCCGAAGTTATCCTGTTTATTAATGTTTGGAGGCATAATATACACACTCAAGTACACCTGACTTGTGCACAGGTTGATGAACTCTGTCTATACGCCCTGTGTAAGTCCACCCACATCAACAGGGGCATGGGCAGCACACCCCTGGGCTCCCAGCACTCTTCCCCAGGCAATTCTCACCCCCTCCCCAGAATATTCTGCCTCTGTAGGTCCCAGAGGTGACCTCATCCACTCTTGAACTTCAGACGAATGGACTCACACACGAACTCTGTCTGACCTCGGTTCAGCCCTCTGTCCTTGAGCTTCCTCCACAGTGGTGCTGAACGATAGCTCATTAATTAATGCAGTGAATATTATCCAAAGTATGACTGTGCCACAGTTTATCCATTCTGTCCACTTATCTGAATCCATCTGTTGCCAGGGTGGGGCATTGTGAATATAGCTTCCATGAATATTCTTGTATGTGTTTTTTTGTGTTCACACACACTGTATTCTTGGTTATGTAACTAAAGATAGCACTGCTGGAATTGAGGGTGAGTAAATGCTTAGCTTCTCTGGATACCCCAAGCTGTTTTCCAAATTGGGTTCCAGGTTACACTTATCAGCAGTGAGAAAGTTCCAGTTGCCCCATATCCTCACCAACACTTGGTGTTACCCATCTTTTTATTTCTAGTCACCCTAGTGGTTATGTACTAGTGTCTCACTGTGGCTTTAATTTGCCTTTCCATGATTGAGTACCTTTCCATGTTTACTGACCACTGGAATATCCTCTGTTGTGAAGGGAGTGCTCAATATTTTCCCTATATATTAGGATCTATTAAATTTTATTTTAGAAAATTTTTTGTATTTTCCAGATGAAACTTCTGCCAGGTGTATGCAATGGAACTTTTAGATGAAGGGTTTATTGGGTTGGGTCTGTTACACCTTGGGACTGTAAGTTCCAGGACACCAGGGGCTGTTTTTGTTCATCAGTGCATCCCAGAACCTCACACCATGCCTTGGCTGCATTGGGAACTTAATTTGTGTGTGTGTGTGTGTGTGTGTGTGTGGTACCAAGGACTGAACTCAGGACCTTGTGCTTGTGAGACAGGCATGGCACCACTGAGCTAAATCCCTGGCCCTGGGAACTTAATATTTTAACCCAACCAGTTGGGACTTCTGGGTTGGGTTTAACACCAAGTGTTCTCTCACCTGTTCATTTGCCCATCTGCTTGCTTGCTCTTACTGCCCTCCCCCCTCCTTCCTACGCCCTCAGTGTGACCTCACCATAGCGGCACTTCCCTGCCAGCTGACTTCCTGTCAGGATCTGCTAGCAGGAGGCCCTGGTGGAAGATGGAAGGTGGAGGAGAGTGGCTGTGTTCCCGCTTTAGATTCGTCAGTGTCTTGTTAGTCACATCAGTGACAAATGGCCATGTGGTGGTGGCTGCAGGGGCAGCTACAGAAGCTGGATGTCCAGGTTTCCTGATTCTTCTCAGGCAGCTACTCTGATGCTTGGAGCATCACAGTGCTCTGGCCTTGAATTTCTGCTCCTCCAGCCCAGGTGGTAAACTAGTTATAATTATAAATTTTTGAGTAAATTTATCTAACCTCTTGTTCTTCTAGTCCTTTAAAAATGATTGTAGCAAGCCATGCATGGTGGCATACACCTGTAATCCTAGCTCTCGGGAGGCTGAGGCAGGAGAATCACCATGAGTTCGAGGCCAACCTGGGCTACATAGTGAGTTCATGGTCGGCCTGAACTACACAGTGAGACTCTGTTTCAGAAAAACCAACCAACAAACAAAAAAATCCCACCTGTGCTAAACAAATAAACAAATCCTTATGTTAAATCTCTTCTACTTGGAATACTCACAGTGGTCTATTTCCAGTTCAGCCTCTGACCACAACAGTACTTAGTGTCTGCAGTGGTTCTAGAAGACAAAACCTCAGAGACCTGCTCTGTGCCTGGTTTGCTGCCCTGTCTGACTTAGATTTAATGCAGTGAAGACCACACTGCTAGTGGAAGGTGAACTCTGGTAACACCTGGCAGGCCTGGATATCGAAACTTGTAGTTTGTTTCGCATGAAGTGCCCATCGAAGACAAAGTGTAAAGGACTAAATGTATGCTGATGTTTACAGTGGTGACTGTGATCAAAAGGATTGTGAACTGGCCACTTTACTGCATTTGGTGCTCACAGAACAAGACAAGCTTAGGCCTTTGAATTCCAAGGTCAAGGCATGATCAGAAAACTACAGATTTCTATGGCACGAAAATCTACTTCTTACACTGACAGGACATAACCGGCTGCAATTTGGGCCCCACACTTAATTGTGCAAGCTGCAAAATCACAATGTTAAATTGTACTTCACACCTTCCTCTTAGGTGAAATTGAAGGCACCAGTTGGGAAGGAGTGAATGTTGAGGTCAGAATGGCAACATCTGGGCAGATCAGAACAATCTGAGAATTCACCACACTCAGGCCTCCCTGGCAGAAGCAGCAGATGCCCCACTCTGTCTGATTACAACCTCATCTGTTACATTCCCTTGCAAGGTGATGCCTGTCCTCAAGACCCACCCTGGCAATCCCTTGTTGCCTCCATATCCACAACTAGTCAGGTATCAACATCCCAAGGCTGCAGATGAGGCACAAGGTCCTGGGTTCAATCCCCAGCACCACCAGAAACAAACAACAGCAAAAAACTGACCAGCATCCCCAAGAGCCTGACAGAAGACAGTCAAATACTAACTAAAACTAGTGTTACCTTTTGTTTTTGGTACCAGGGATCGAACTCGGGTCCTTGCGGTTGCATAGCAGGCAGCAAAGCCACTGAGCTAAATGCCCAGCCCCAGTGTTACCTTTTGTTAGCAATAAATTAGTAAGTGCATACCATGTAAGGTTTTGCCAATTACAGTAATAGAAACCTGGAACATGTATGGTAATTAATGAATTTGAGGTGTTAAGACTAAATAGGATGGGAATATAATGTTAGGTCAGGCCACAGGTATGGGGTCTGCATACCAGAGATTCTGAATCCATGTATTTTTCCTTTTGTAATTGTTTTTTTTTTTTTCAGTCTGGGGCTGGAATCCAGGCCTTCATGCATGCTAGACAAGTGGTCTACGACTGAGCTACATCCTCAGCCCTTTTGAAGTTTTGAGAAAGGATCTTGCTAAGGTACCTGGGATGGCCTCAAGCACAGGATCCTTGGCCAGCAGCTGGGATTATAGGCATGATACAATGTTTTAGTTCCAGCACTTGCTCTAAAAGTTCCGTTGCCACTCACTAGTAGCCCAGATACAATGAGAATGAGAAGCGTAAGTTAAGGAAAAGGAGGAAAGTCCAAGGCTGAGGAAGAAAGAAATGCCAGTGCATTTTTCATAGGTGACTTACACATTCACCAACCCCAGGATGTTCTCTGTAAGTCCACTCCTCCCTCAGCCATGAGAGGTGCACTGGTGAGGAGCTCAACAACCACAGATTCACTGTGCTAGTCCCAGTAGGCCGGGTGGATAAAGGACCTGATCTCAATGTTCACAGGTGAGCAGAGATCTGTACTTACTACCAGGGAGCACAGAACCACCCATCCAGTTCCCAGACCCAGACCTCAACTCAGCTTTTGGGACGGCCCCGCAGGATGGCCACAGTATATATCAGGGAGTCTCCTCCAACCCCCCAAAGTGTGAGCAGCCATCAGCCAGGATAGCTGAGCACCGGGAAGGGAGATACTCTCTTCCTTCAGGGCTCCAGACTTTGGCTCCGTTTCGAGGCTAATCTCTGGTTACCCAAAATGCCACTGTTCATCCAATGAGAGCTTAGCATCAAGGAACAGGTGGAGCTTCACCTGAATCCATCCCAGTGGACAAGACAAGGAGGGCAGGCTGCTCAGGGGCAAGTGTGGACAGTGAAGAGCCCATCCTTCAGACTTCACATCTAAACACAAATAAATTTCAAGGGGTCAGGGCACAGGGGTCAGCACTAGACAACGCTTAGCAAGTGCAGGGCTCTAGTTTAATCCTCAGCACCAAGGGGGGGGGGCGTGTATTTCCAGACAGTGAGCTATATTTCAAATGATTATTATAACCATACTAAGTGGAGAAAAAAGAATACACCCTTGGACTAGACAAAAAGTCTAAATTATACAGATTGGATTGCTACAATGATAAGC